GAAGAACAAAGATTTTCAAGAGAAGGCCATGTATAAATACTAACCTTTTACTGATATGATAGTATTAATCAAGTCTTTTAAAAAATTTTTTCTTTTCTTTCTTTCTTTCTTTCTTTCTTTCTTTCTTTCTTTCTTTCTTTCTTTCTTGAGTATAGCTGACACACAATGTCACATTAGTTTCAGGTGTACAACATAGTGATTCGACAACTCCATATGTTACGCTGTGCCCACCATCTGTCACGGTAGAACGATGCCCACTGCTTTTAATTTGGGGGAGTGGCATGGTATAGCAAAAGGGGAGTGGAAAAAGCACAGGGTTGGCCATCAGGAGACCTGAAGTTAAATCAGGTTTCTTGCACTTAACACTTCTGCAATCTCATCAGGTAGCAACTTCTCAGAGCCTGGTTTCCTTGTCTGAAGAATGCAGACCACAATTTATCCCAGGGTGGTTCCGAAGTTCAAATAAACTGATATAGGTAAAAAGCCTTTTCAAATTGAAATTACTACGCAAATAAAAGTAAAGCATTATTATTATCTTCGGTATGCATTTGCATAAATTACATCTTCTCTAGGCCTCCGTGAAATGGGGATAATAATAGTTATTACCTCCTGCCAGGATTACAGCAATGCCCTCCTAACTGGTCTTCCTATTTCTATTTTTGCACTCTTAAAAGACATTCTTCACACAGCAGCTGGCAATCTTTTTAATATGCAAATTAGGCCATGTGCCTCTCCCATTTCAAATCCTCCAATGGCTTTATATTGCACTTAAAATAAAATCTGAACTCCATATCAGAGTCTACAAGGCCCTGCACCATCTGCCCCGTGCCTACCGTTCTGACCTTGGCTCATTTCCCTCCACCACAAACTCCCTGCCCTCTAGTCACACAGCCTTCTCTAGGTTCCTCCAAGATCTTCACAGTCCCAGAACATTTGCACTTGCTATCCCCTGACATGGCTTATGGATCTGGTCTCTGTATGCCAGCTCCTGGAAGAGGCCTTCTCTGACCCACTCTTCCTAAAGTGGTCTTCCACTCATTATTTACATTACCCAATTTTAATGTATGATAGTGCTAGTTATTTTCTGAAATGATACTGTCTAATGTTTACTTACTTGTTTGTTATCTGTCTTCTGCCACTAAAATGCAAGTGCCCCCATGAGAGCAGGGCCCTTGACTTTTGTCAAGCATAGCACCTGACACAGTTGACCCTCAATAAATAGTTGTTGGTGAACAAGTGAGTAAGTGATCGAAAACTTCACAGTCCCCTCTACCCGCCCCCACCACGGTATAGAAAGTTCACATCTGTGTATTGCTCCGTGGAGAAAAGCCCTGTGGGAGAAGGGAGTGTGGCGATGATTGCATGAAATAGCATTATCTGAACCAGATGTGAGAGCTTTGGGCCTAAAAGCCACCCCCGCGCTCTGTGGCAGGACTGCTCTCATTGGCCGAGATCACCCTTATCAGTCAGCACAACATCAAGCAGATGTTTTTCAGTAACACCGGAGCCTTCCTGGGTCCTCGGTTGCAATGGCTAATTTTCCAATGGCTTATGAGTGAACACGAAGCTGACTTAATGTTCTGGCTTCTACTCAAGGCCAGAACTTCTTGCCCTTGTTCTAGCACAGTGTACTCCTCACAGTAATTCCTCCATAGACTTTTCCATGTCCTTTTACAATGAGGACAGGGCCATTCTCCTCAGAGAGGACCTTGCTAGAACAAGTAGAAAACGGGTCAGGAAGTGAAGCAAATGCCTGTGGAGGGAGCAGGAGACGTGGATCCTCACACCCACGTGTAACTTCTTATACCCATTAGCCTACCAAGCTCAGCTGCTATAACAAAGGGGTCCAAAATCACATGGCCCGGAGCATGGGTAATGCTGCTTATCCAGGAACTGGTTCCCTTCTACAAAACCCTAGGGTATTGTCTTTGATCTCATAAAGCAGGGCGAAGTGCAAGCATGTCCTTTTAAGGACATAACTCAGAAATTGCTCTCCATCTCTTCTGCTCTCATCCCTTTTGCCCAAACTTTATCCCAGGGCCGTAGGTCGTTGCAAGGAAGGCTGAGAAATGTCATCTCTATACAGAGAGCTATGAGCCCTGCCCCTCAGAGGACTCTGTTATCAAGAGAAGGAGGGCATGACTATCGAAGGTCAATTACAGTCCCTACCACACTCGACTCAGACAGTAGCTGACGGGCACTACACCCCCAAACTTTGAAGTCCCTGGAGCTGTTTTCAAACATACAGAGGAGACTTTCACAATGCAATCAAGAAAGCAAAGAAAAAGATGGCGGTGGCTTTTAGAAAACTCAGAGATAGTCAAGGTTTTTTGGTTAAACTTCTCCAAAATAGAGAATACTTTTAAATATATTTTTTTCCTACCATGACAGTTTTATTTCTCACTGCAATCCGGCACATTCACAGGATCACAACCTTTTAGAGTTTTATCCTTTTTGGACAGAATTCTTACATTTTGGATTTTAGTCCCGAGGCAGGTCTTTTTTTAAGATGGAAAGCTTGAACAAGCTCCATTTGGCAGTTTCTAGAGCAGAGAAATAAAAATCTCTCTTACGTAACATATTTTGGGATTTCTTTGGTCAACTCAGGAGTCGCTGCCTTGTTATGAATGTTGGAGGCACAAGGACAGGCGTGAGAGTTTGTGCTCATGTTATGCAAACCATCCCTACTAAGAATTCCTGAACAAAAGCCTCATCATTCTAAGAAACAACTGGGCATCATTTCAAACAGTATGTCTTGCTCTTTCATTTAACATATGGGAGAGTGACACAGAATGGAACATCTATCTGCCTGACATGCCATGTGCAAGGCTGCTGCTGGCCCACGGGCTCGTATGTAAACAGCAGCTTGCTCTTGGGTTTTTTGCCCTGTCCTTTTTGGGGCCTCAGTTTCTGACTCTGTGCCATAAGGTTAGTAATAACTGTTCTGCATCTCATTAACTTCAGCTGCTTTTGTGATCTGGCAGAGCTCATTCTTCTCCTTCATAAGATCGACGGGGGTCATACTGCACTGGGAGTTGTCAGACTGTATTTTGGGGATCCCCAGAGTTCTGTGGAGGTCCCTCGGTTCCCTCTGGTTAGTTGGGGGAGGAAGGGAGCTCAAGCTTCACCTGAAACAGCTTGACTTGTATCTTTAAGATCATTTCCAATTCTGGGGGCGCCTGGGTGGCTCAGATGGTTAAGCGTCTGCCTTCGGCTCAGGTCATGATCCCAGGGTCCTGGGATCGAGTCCCGCATCGGGCTCTCTGCTCCTTGGGAGCCTGCTTCTCCCTCTGCCTCTCTCTCTCTGTCTCTCATGAATAAATAAATAAAATCTTTAAAAAAAAAAAAAGATCATTTCCAATTCTGACATTACGAGAGTCGGAAGGGTCAGGGAAGTGAGCCTAGAAGATAATGTCTGTCGACAGCTGTGAAGTCCTCAAGGTAAGCAGGGAAAGTAATGGGCTATGGATGAAGGCTGTGGGTGATGTGTGGATGAGAAGGTGGTGTCCTGCAAGGAGCTGAGGGAGAGCAAACCATACGGGGTGGCCCTCGGGGCACATTTGAAAAGACAGACCTAGAATTAGAAAAGCCCAGCTGGTCTTCTATGAGCCAGATGATCCCTGATGAGCAGCTAACCCCCTGAATCTTGATTTCGAGTTAAAGTCGGGAGGCAGAGACAGGGTACTAGGTTAGGTCTGTCATTCCCTATGCATAGTTCTGAAATCCCCAAAACCAAGCAAATATTTTTCCATCTAGCACAAACTCATTTGGTGGCAAAATCTGACCTGAACAAACTCAAGGTTATAAATATATATATATATATTCTTTCTTTATCTCTCTTAATGCAAATATACATCTATATCGAGATATCTATCTACATATGCTGTTCTGTTTCATTTCAGAAATGTTACTGTGTTTGATTATGGGTGCTCTCTCAGACCTCTAGGTGTGTTAGATGACATGTGGTTTATGCATGCAGATTCTTTCCAAAATGAGGAATTCTGAAGTCCAAACACATCTGTCCCCAGTAGCTTGGATGAGGGACTACGTGTCTTGGACACTTCCCGCTCTGCCCTTTAGGCCTCTGAAAGGATCATCTAAGCCTCCAGCCAGGAGTGCAGTTTGTGAATTGTGACAGCATCAGTACAAAGGGCAGCCTTCCCCAGGCCTACTGTGGTCACTGTGTCGGTCTGCTGGGGCTGCCATCACCAAGTACCACAGACTGGATGGCGTGAATAACAGAATTTTCTTTCCTCACAGTGGAAGTCCACGATGAAGGTGTCAGCAGGATTGGTTCCTTCTGAGGCCTCTCTTTGCGGTGCAGATGGCCACCTTCTCCCTGTGTCCTCCCATGGTCTTCCCTCTGTGTGTGTCTTTATCCTGTTTTTCTCTTTTTATAAGGACCGAGTCAGGTCAGGGTCCATCCTAATGATCCCTTTTAACTTTAATCACCTTTTTAAGGGCCCTGGCTTCAAATATGGTCACATTCTGAGGTACTAGGGGTTAAGACTGACCTATGAATTTGGGGGCTGGGGGACACAACTCAGCCCATACTGGCCACTGTTTTGGTCATTTAGCAGCTAGCACACACCTGGCTTTGTGTCTATATCTGTGACTTTCCACATTTTATACATAAAAACATACCTGAATCCGAAGACTGAATTATAATCGGAGACGGGTAAGTCCGAGTTGCCTTTCCTGTTTTTCCTCACCCTGCTTGTCTGATTGACCTACAGGCGAGCCTTTGCATGCTTGCAGGGTCTCATCAGAAGAACTGATTCCCACTGAGAGAAGTTCTAATAAATAATTAGAAGCACATCTGTTGACTCTGTGAAACTTTAGCCTGGGCCCCCTGCCAGGCCAGTGTGAAACTGGAGGCCAATAATCCGACACCCACATGGTGTTTCCCTTTGTCCGTCCTGCCTCGGGTCAGGGGAGGGAGCAAGGGAAGGAGGAGAGCCCCGTCCCTGTTGCCCGGCAGCCTGTCGGAGGCCACGTACCCCTTCCTGCACCTTCAGTGAAGGCCCAGCTGGGGAGGGGCCGGCCCAAAGGAAGGTGGTGTCACTCCCCGGACAGACCATCCGTCTCCATTTATTGTCTCCTGTTTCTGACGGGGCCACACTGGGGGCTCACCAGCAGGAACAGGCCTTGAAGGGTTTCTGTAATAAATAAGACAAGAAGAGGAGTCTGTCAGCCAACAAATATTTATTGACCTCCTGCGGCCACAGGGCCCTGGGCCATACTCCAGAGAAGACACTCTGGCTGCACCCACTGTTAATCGTGACAAACACCAAGATGGGGGAGACCCTCGGGGTCCTTTCCTCCCCTCCAGCCAGGCAACAGCCCGTCAGCTGGTGGCTCCTTTCTTGGGCCTTCCTAAGGCTTCAGCTGTGCTGGGGCAAAACCTGAACTAATGGGTCACTTTTAATGTGTGTCTTGGAGCCTGGCACAGACCCTGGTTTGCCAAAGCTACGCAAGAAATGAGTCAGTGCCCGGCAGCCGATGGACGCTCTCTCTGCCTCTAAACCAGCCTTCGAGCCAGCAGATACTTCAGATGATATACCCTCTCTTGGGGCGTTGTGCTTGTGAACAGCATCAAAACAATGGGACAATATTTTTCCTGGTCAGCAGGAAATAAAACAATATCATATCATGCAAAGAAAGCTCTCATAGTCATACACACACACACACACACACACACACACACATATTATTTTCTTCCTAAGGTGTGGACTTCAGTTTTGCATTAAGGGAAGAAAGGATCAGTCAGCCCTGAGATAATTGTGCATCCTCAGCGGCTTTCAGTGTGGCTGAATGAGATAAGGAAGGCCTGGGGGAGAACGGTAGCCTTCCCCTCACCTCTGCGATCCCCCTCACCTCAGCATGACGGCTTCTGGTTCCGCAAGTAATGCACTCTCAAGACAAAAGAAAATACCATGGGAAGAGACAGCTGGCTACTCTGGGCTGTTCTGTGTTCTCACCCCACCACCCTGGGAAAGCCTGTGGTCCTCATCCCCCCGGCCCAGGTCAGCACAGGGATTCTGATATGCGTTGTGCGGATGGGGCAGGAAGTGTGCATGAGGGACACGTGCAGGAGGCTCTTGTCCAGACATGCATTTCTGCTTAATTCAGCTCCTCTTGTCCAGTGAATCAAGACACAGTGTGAGCAAGTTCTTAAAAGTCAAAGGCACATGCCAGTGTGTTTTCATGTTCTCTTCCTGTTTCAGCTTCCTATAGTCCCTTTGACCTTAGGGTGGGGAATCCTAAGAGCCTTGCCACCCATCCTCGGCACTGGCCATTGGCACCATCTTTTACTTTCCAAGTGCTCCCCAAGCATGGTGCATATACCAAAGGAATGAATTATTCTGAGTGTGTGTGTGTGTGTGAGAGAGAGAGAGAGAGAGACAGGGACAGAGACACAGAAAGACAGAGAGACAGAGAGAGACTCACACATTACCTCATTTTATCATCACACAAGCTTGTCAGGTAAATATTATTATTCCCATTCTACCCACGAGAATTACAGGACTTCTAACTTGCTCAAGATCATGCAGCAGATAGTCAGGTATACCGACCCAGTTGACCAACAGCAGGCATGTCCACTTAGAAACCCACCCATTCCCATTTACGCAGTAAAGTATTCTCCTCTTCCCTGACTCAGTGAGCAGAAGATGGGTTTGAAAAGAAAGAAGAACAGCTTTGCCTTCCAAGAGTTTGGAACCAGGGATGGAAAAATCATGGCAGGGTTCAAGCCCTCATCCCAGGGGCCCAGAGGCAGGAGACGGTGGAGCCGAGCATCCCTGAAGCACCCCCATCCCATGTTGTTGAGGCTCCTCTGGTTTCCTGGGTGCTGGGTGTCCGGAGGGTACAGTCTCCAGACCCCAGCTCCCAGGCAGCACAGCTACTCTCTCCACTTCATGTTGCTTTGTTGACTGGGATACATCCTGGCTTCTCTTTGTCTGCAGGGACTTCCTTGTCACCACTGTCAGCTTCCCTGGGGGGACACTGGCTCTTACCCCTGGTTTCCAAAGAGCAAGAGTCAGCCCTATAGATGGGAGGCATATGTGGCAGGATAAGAGGGAGACTCATGGGTGGGACACAGACCCCATACCGGACAGTTAGGCTTAAAGTGGGACTTCACAGTGGCCCAGTGGCATGACCTTGGGCAGATTACTGAACTCACAAAGCTTCCATGTCCACATCTACAAGATGGGGATTTAGAATCTATTCTGTAAGGTTGTCTTAGGACTAAATGAGAACATACACGTGAAACACTCAGTAAGCTTCCATCCCTTTGATGCCCAGTGTGTCCCTTATGACATAGACCACCATATCAGTCCCTCAACCATTATACAAGGCAGCCACTCAGGGATGCTTCTCATGACCCATTTTCCTACACAGGGCCTACCATCCTGCCTTGCTTTAGCTCAAAGTCCAGTAGTAAACACTAAATCAGGAACCACACCTTCAGGTTCTGATGCCAGTGAGCCCTTCCTAGTTTCCTGAGCTTTGGCCAAGCCACAGATCTCACCTGCAGAATTATGACCAGCTCTTCCTAACTCAACTGAGATCATATATGCAAAAATACTTAACTGTAAAACCATGGTCAAGTATAATGTCATAAGACTATCATTAGCTCTTAATGCTATCTCCCTGGCCTAACTCAAGAGTTGGGGAAAGTGTAAAAATGCAAATAAATTATGAATTTCCCCAAAGGCATCACTCAGTTAAGAAATAAAGGGTAGACACTTCACCTGTCCTCAGGAACTTAAAACCTCAGTAAGGAAATTAGACTCAAACATAGGAAAATTTTCTAAGAATACCTGAGAAATGCCTAGGTGGAGACAGCAGGCTACTACACACCCAGAAGAGAAAAGGACATTTAGAACCAAAGTGGTCAGCATCTACCTGAAAAGGGCATTTGAAAGAGACCTCAAAGAATGGGACATCAGGGCCCAGAGTCCCTACTTCTTTACAGATTCAATCAATAATCATTAGAAATATTTTATTCAACAAAAAGTTCAGAAATACAAAGGAAGAAAAAAGGTCAAAAATACTAATAACAGTCCTACCAACTGATTTATCTCTATCTATTGTTTTTAGTTTCAGAATGTTGAGAAAGGTGTGGCTTGCTCAGATAAGTAGTTGAGCATGCTAACGACTTTTAAATAATTTACTTTGTAGCTTCAGGATGTTCTTTCGCCAAATTCATTGAGATTGGAGGTTGGCAGAATTTTTTGTAAAAGCTGAGTAGAAAACATTTTAGGATTTGTAGGCCATATGATCTCTGTTACAACTACTTTGCTCTGTATCTCAAAAGCAACTGCCGGCCATGTGTAAATAAATAAGCCTCTCCGTGTTCTAATAAAACTTTATTTATAGACAATGAAATTTTCATTTCATATAATTTTCGCATGTCACAAAACAGTATTCTTCTGTTGATTTTTTTTCAATCAGTTAAAAAAGGAAAAACCCCTCTTAGCTGATTGGGCCACACAAAATAGGTGGTGAGTTGGAATTTGCCTGCTATTTGCTGAGCTCTGATATAGGCATTCAAGAGAACAATAGTAGAACACTTTTGTTCCAAAGCTGAATCACCAACAAAAAAAGTTCTAACTGATTGTTTCACATCATTAATTAGTAAATATGCTATTTGAAGGAAATCTAAGAATGTTTTTCCATGTCTTGGAAAAATATTTTTCTAATACATCCTTGAAGCATTTTGAATGTTAAACCATGCCATTTAGAAAACAAAATCTGAGATAACCCAATACGCATCTCTGGAAAATATTTAAGCAAAGTTCTAAAACAGTCCAATTTATTTAATTTTGTAGATCAAGTTCAGACTTTTCTTTGCTTTCTCATTGCCAACGATTTCCCTGCAGTTGCAATCATCGTAATGTTGTAACTCTCGTGGCCTGAATTGAATTTGTTCCGTTCATTAAAAATATCAGCAAAACATGGAAACTAGAGTAACCATGTTATATCTGGCAGTATTTAGCTGGGTAGAGTTTCTCCATCAGTTAAAAAAAAAAAAAGCACATTTAATGCATATATGTATATACACAAAATACTTTTACGTGTATATGTATATGTATACACACATATACACACATAATATACATGTGATTTTGTGTCTCATTTAAATATTCAGTATTACATCTTCTCTAGAGATAGACTTCAGACTTCATTAAGAAAAGGCAAGTTCTTATATACGATTACAAATAACTGTTAGTAAAACTGACAATTTCTATATCATCATTCAATACCAGTTTGAAAGATCCTAGCAGAGTGCTTTTCTATGCAACTTACTTATCTATGTAACCTGTTTCACCAAATCAAAGGTGCATATGTGAGCTAACATCATTATCTTGAGCACCACTAAGAAAGGAAAAACACTGCCAAAGACACAATGCTTTTTTAATCTCCTATCATGTAATTTTGTAATTGTTAGACGTCTTCTTTTTAACGTACTCATATTTTTAAAAATCATATAACATTCTTTCATAAAACAAAAGATATAAGTGGAATAAAACTGGTGAAGCTGTTTATGAAACTTCACAAAGTTAGACCAATCCCTGTGTTTCCTACAGGACATCTTCCAAGCTGCCTGGGTGTGGATGACTCAGGTCCTAAAAGGATACTCTCTCGTCCTCCACACTGGGCAACACTGAGCCTTGTCGGGCAAGGGTGAGCAATGACCACCACCACCTGGAAGCAAGCTGGCCCATGGGGATGGTAAAGCGCAAGCCCACCTCACAGATCTTCAGATGTGGAGACGACATGCCCCTGGAGCTGGGAAAGCACAAGATGGCCATGTGGCTCCTCCTCCTGAGACTCCTCCTCTTGGGACTGTCAAACCGGGGCTACAGATGTTGCTGCCTGTTCTAATTTACTTGACGGTGTATTAAAAACCTACCTGAATGGAATGTTTTCTTCGTGGCTGTTGTGAATGTGTCAGGTTTTACATAAGACAAACTTTGCTCACCTGTGTCAACATATTTTGCAAAACTAAGTAAAATACTGAAACCCAGAACATGGGCACCCTCACCCAGCTGATGGCACAATGCCCCTGATCTCACACTTTTTACTAAGCCAAGCTTCCTGGATCCGTGTCTGGGCTCTGTCACCAGATGGGGGGGGCACAAATCGCATTTCCCAAAGCCTGCTCATTTTATACACTTTATGTCAAGTGTCCCCAAATAAGGAAAGTTTTCTTCTCACATTTTACAACTTCAATCTCTTACGTGTAATAGAGGTAACTTCTATTGCACATCCCTATATGTGTATTTCATCTTCTCATTTCATTTGTTTTTATATTTTTTCAGTAACTTTCAATTTGCACTGAAATAAGATGAAAACCATATTTTCATGTTTCTTCTTTTTTTTACTTTCAAAAGATATCTTAATTTGGCAGGAACAGCATAAGCATACCAAGAGCATGAGAAGATCTTTGTCACGATAAGCAATGAGCCCCGCCAACAGGTTATTAGGACATCGCCCTCTGGACCCTGATTCCACCCCTCTGCCTTCCTGTCCTATGGGGTTGTCAGTGTGGGTGGCATTGGGCGAAACATTGGTTGGGAGATTGCTGTGATGTCATTTTGCCCTAGGCTTAGCCAGTTTCTTTTTTTCATTTTTCTTTTATTTATTTATTTTTCTATTTGAGAAAGAGAGCGCGTGAGTAGGGGGAGAGAACCTTTCAAGTAGACTCCCCACTGGGTGTGGAGCCCGACGTGGGGCTCAATCCCATGAGATTATGACCCAAGCCAAAACCAAGAGTCAGATGCTTAACCGACTGAGCCACCAAGGCACCTCGAATTTTTCATTTTTTAACAAGTAGTCAAGTTTCAGTTTTTCCACTTTGCCAAAAAAAAAAGCATTTATAAATGTAGAAGTAAAACAAAAAGCATGCAAAACTCACAATAACCACAAAAACCACAGTCATGCCTTGACGGGACCATGTGCCAAGCAGACACATACTACAACCACAGTAACAGTTCACAGCAATCTCAGCCAACGCTCACTAACCCTTCCCACGGGCCGGCGCGGCTCGAAGTCTTTGCGTGAGCTAGCTCATTCAGCCCTCACAGCTATGCTACCTGGTGGGCGTGATTCGTGTCCGTTTCACAGGTGAAGACACTGAGGCAGGAGAGAGGAAGCAAGGTTTCACAGAAAGGGGATGAAAGCACAGGGACCCACCTAGTGACCTGGACTTGGAGTCACAGCTTCTCTTGTCCAGGGCGGCAGGCACCTCGACGTGTGGCCCCAGACAGAACTACAGGCTTCCTCACCATCAGCTCATGTATAATGAGCCTAAATAAAGGCACAGAGGAGGAGAGAGCTTTATTGAGAAGCTGTCACAGAGCTAGTCTGGTAAGTATGTATACATTTGTATGTAGCCTGCCTGGGTGTGTGCTACTTTTCATACTTTCATAATTAAAATACATATTATATATATGTGTGTGTGTGTGTGTGTGTGTGTGTGTACATGTACACCTATGTGTCTATTTATCTGGAGCCATACATCTAAAGTTTTCTAAAATCAACATTTATAAAATCTGTTTGATGGGTACACGAACGTTTGCTGTATTATTCTTTGTACTTTCCTGTCTGGTTGAAATGTATTTTTAAAATATTTTCTAAAAAAGAAAAGAAATGCGAATCGAATGTTTGCAGGACCTCTGGAACTCTGCAAGAGCTGAGGTCACCCCCCGCCCCCAGGAGCCAGAGATCCAGATTCAGAGAACAAACTGGACTGCGTGGAGACTCCCTTTCCCCGGGCACCTCCCCACATCACTTCCCAGGGAGCTTCTCCACCTCAGGCCCCATCTCCCGAAAGGCTCTGCGCACTGCCTCTTTCCTCCTTCCCTCCTGGCCATGGTCCTCCCGTGGACTGTGTTTATTTACTCACCACTGTGCGCTTCTCTGTGACAGGCCTCTGGGAGTCCACGTCCCGCATGACAGCAAGCACCCGTGACATCCATGCTCAGTGAAGAAACCAGTGCCAGTGAGCTGGTACTCGGGTGGGGTGGTGGGGCTGGAAGGAGGAGAGCAGGACATCGGGACCCCACCAATGAAGGACAGTGCCTCAGCAGGGCAGGGATCAGGCCGGGGAGGTGCTTAGAAAACATAACAAGGAAGCTTGTCACTTGAGGCACAAATAGTGCGGGGGTGAATACATGCATGCCAAGAAGACACAAGTCACCAAGGACAAGGTTATGAAAGTGAGTGTGGCCAAACGATTCTCAAGGCCCTGGGAGAGTAGGGACAGCGTGACCAGGGTGGTCTGAGTGTGGTGGAGGTCAGGGAGAGAGTGGCTTTTTTTTTTTTTAAAGATTTTATTTATTCATTTGAGAGAGAGAATGAGATGGAGAGCATGAGAGGGGGGAGGGGCAGAGAGAGAAGCAGACTCCCTGCTGAGCAGGGAGCCGACGTGGGACTCGATCCCGGGACTCCAGGATCATGACCTGAGCCGAAGGCAGTCGCTTAACCAACTGAGCCACCCAGGCGCCCGAGAGAGTGGCTTTTGATGCCAGCCGAGGAGTGGTCTGTTCTAGATTGTTCAGACTATAATACCTAGTATTTGAAAAGCACAAAGCCCCTCCACGTTACCTTATTTAATCCTGGCACCTGACCCTGTGGGGAGAGTCACTGCCCCCACTTTACAGACGAGTGTACTGAGGTCTGGAGAAGCTAATAGACCTGATTAAATTCACATAGATAGGATGTAGATAAATCTGAATGGAAGATATATATCTTAACTCCAAGACCACTAGAGAAACATTCCTTCTCTTCTCGGTCTCAAACAACATTTTATGGGACGAATTCCTACAGCCCATCCCTTTCTCCTCGGAAGAGGGAATTCGCTTTTGGACTTGGGTTGGGCACAGGATTGATTCAACACAGTGACAAACTGTGACTCAGGAACCGGGGACAGTCTCAAATCAGAGACAGAGTTAGCTCTGGCTGTTGGACAGCTGGGAATGCCAGCCAGGTCCCCATTCAGGGCTGAGGCTATAATTATGGTAAGCGTGGCGAGTTATGGTTTATGCACTCTGCTGAAAGCCTACAGGCCCCCCAGGGAGGATGTCAGGCCAAAGGCAGGTGTGAGCTGGGACAGAGTGTTTGCGCCCCTCACAGGCCCCTCAGCCCTCTCCATCCATCTCTGCTCCCCCAACCTCCACCTTGGGGACCATGGCCGCCACAGCATTCATCCTTGACGGGCAGTCTGAGCTCGTGGCTAAGCCCAACCCGTCAGTGCATTGATGAAAACAAGTACCTCCCTTGCTTTTCTTGGCCTCATGCATATGTACCATATGAATTCTGCCTCTTTGGGGGTCGCCCCTGGTCAAGAGAGATGCTGGGTATCAATACCATTTCGTTTGGAGGTAAGGAGCCCTGCACCGTGGATCCACAGCCTCCACATGAGTGTGCTTGGAAGGGATCTGACTCCCGGCTGATTGTTTTGAGCTGCGTCTGGACAATGTTAGCAGTATCTGGAGGACCCGCCCCCCATCGTTCCCTCCAGCCCAGGAAAGCCTTGACATTTGCACCAGGAGGAACTTAGAAAGAATGAGGCCATGTTTAAGGAACAGCAACTGGGCCAGTTCAGGTGGGGGTCAATGGCGGCTGTCTTTTGCTTCCAGGCTAGAAGACTCTCAAGATGGCACAAGAGGCTGAAGGGAGAAATGATGCCCAGAAGTGGGCCTTTTCCTTCAGCCTCTGAAGAGACAGGGTACAAAGACCCCAGGAGTGGGTCAGAGCAGTTGCGATCAGTCACGCCTTGAAACTTCTGTTGCTCTTGCACTCTGCAAGCACTTTAAGAATTCTCTGGGGGTGGGGGGTGCTGGGTGGCTCAGTCGGTGAAGTGTCTGTCTTCGGCTCAGATCATGATCCCAGGGTCCTGGGATCGAGCCCCACATCCATCGGGCTCTCTGCTCAGTGGTGAATCTGCTTCTCCCTCCCCCTCTGCCCCTCCCCCGGCTCTTGCGCTGGCACTCTCTCTGTCTCTGTCTCTGTCTCTCTCAAATAAATAAATAAAATCTTAAAAAAATAAAAAATAAAAAATAAAAAGGAATTCTCTGTGGGGCCCCAGTCAAGTGAATGCCCTTCAGCTGAAAAATGGGGCAACAGAACTGGGCTCAACTTCCTTCTTGCCTCATGACCTTTGTAATGTTGTTGCATGGTTTTCTCTATTTATAAAAATGTAATTCGGGGTGTCTTCTCATTGTCGCCCTCACCTTCACTGGAGGTGAGGCATCTCCCCCTCCCCCATTTGCCTCCTCCCTCACAGACCAGAGACCTTGGGGCAGGCAGAGGTTTGGGCTTGGGAAGGTGGGTGGGAGGGAACCCACACTATGAGCTGGGAAGACTGCGAGTGGCGCACCATGGATCTCTAGTCCTACAGGAGCATCAAGGACATTTAAACATGTCTGAGGTTCCTGTTGACCAACCAATTTGCTATTGCAATTTGCTATCTCTACTCCTCACTGCCTGTACCCTCCAAAACTTACCTCCCCAAATTTCAATCCTATGTGAAAAATGTACAATTTTAAGACTTTTAGAACTGTCCTCCTTTATGCCTCATGGGAGGAATATCTTCTTAGCTATGCACAAATGTGCTTCCAGTGATGAATATATTTATATGATTTGTTTGCAAATATTCCTCAATATTCAGTCCTTAGAAATCTCTCTGCACCTCCCCCCTCCCTTTGGTTTCCTACCCACTTTGCTTTTGTTTTCATACAGAGAGTTGAAAGTTTCAAGGACTTTTCCACTCTAACTCCTAAATCCCTTTTCCTGCTTATCTTAAGTAGGATTTAGATAATGTGTGGCTAAGTAGACCCAAATACTCATAGAAAAGAAAGAGGAAGAAGGGAAGAGGGAGAAAGGAGCATGAAAAGTACGGAACAAATCTCCTGGGGGTGAAAAACACCAACAGCATAAGAAAGCGGAGACCCGCCTGTGCCCACAGAGCTCTCTTCCGAGGGTGGAGGGTGCTCCCAAGTTATCTCTGGAAGATTCAACCAAGCCAAGCTTCCCTTTAACAGAACTCTGAGGGAGGAATCAGCCCTTGCATTTTACAGGACCCCCCTTTGAAGCAGGCGGGCTGCTCTTTTATCTCCGAATACTTTGCCGAGAACACGTAGTTTTTATATTTTTGAAGTCATGGTGAAGTGAGTGATTGGGATTTCACCAACCAACATCTTTTCCATATAAACACTTAATAAAGCCCTAAGAAGCAAACTGTCTCTCCAGAAGTTGTCACTCTGGGTCCCGGCGGGCCCTAGCATGCTACCTTTCTATACACGGGATCCCTGGCAGGGTTTCTGGGAGCCCACCCAGGATTAGAAGGACCCGAATAAGCTGTAGTGCCCAGAGGTCTGCTGGACTCCTGAGTGAAGCTGGATAGGACTTTGTTCAAGTCTTACCCAGGTTCTGGGGTGAACTCAAAGTCCCCCTCTTCCTAGGAGTCTCCCTTCCCTGTTCTCCACCTTAGAATTCATTGCTCCCTTGGAAGGATTGCCAGAGACCTATTTTTAATCTTTTTATTGCACTTTCCTCTTTCTGACTGCTTGCCTTTCTTCTCCCACTCCTTCAGGACCTAGTTTAGTATTGTGTATAGAGCAGACACCTAATACATGTTTGCTGTATCCATAGATCTGTTTCTAACTTCTTTAATATCATAGGAATCTGAACTGGGCATTAGAAGTGGGCAAATTCCTACTAGCTCCTGAGACACACTCAGCCGAGGGGTGGCCCTCCCGCCTCCCTGCTCTCAGCCTCTGACCTTCCTGCATCACTGCGGTCACCCAGGGCCCTGTGCTCAGAGGGCCCAACTCTTGGTTTGATGCTCTGTGCTCACCACTTGAAACTCGTAATGTTTTGTGGACAAGGGACCCACATCTTCATTTTGCATTTCTGTCTATAAACTATGTAACCCATCCTGATCTCTCCATTTATAAACGGAAACATGTACCGACTTCCCTAATTGTCCTAATGGCCGGAAAGGACACATTTCAGCATAGGAGACTTTTTTATAAAAGATGTGGCTGTGTTAAAAAGATAATTTTGTACTATTAAGGAAGTGATTCCAAAGAGAGGTCATTAGGAAGCTGGTCACAGTAGATTAAAAAGAAGGGTTGGCAATAGCGAGAAGATAGAATGCTCACAGAGCTTTGCAGTATTATGTTGGATATTTTATTTTTCCTGTTTACACTCCTATGATACACTGCCTATAAACAATGCTATTTTTTTTGGACAACTCTACAGTTTACGAAGGTTGTTCACTTTCATTGTCTTGCTGAATCCTTACACCTTTGGGAAGTCTCCACTTCACAGACGAGAATACCTAAATCAGGAAAACCAGTGGCCGCATGGGAAAACTTCTTGGTATAACTGAGAGTTGAACCCACCCACTTTGGATCCTAAATTTGGGACTCTTCACCTTACCGTGGTTTTCTTTTTTAAAGGTTTTTGTTTGTTCGTTTTTTAAAGATTTTTATTTTTCAGAGCGAGAGCGAGCACAAGCAAGGGGAGTGGCAGGCAGAAGGAGAGGGAGAAGCAGGCTCCCCACTGAGCAGGGAGCCTGATGCGGGGCTCCATCCCAGGACCCCGGGATCATGACCTGAGCCAAAGGCAGACACTTAACCGACGGAGCCACCCAGGCGCTCCCTTTTTACGGTTTTCACTAACATATTCTTTGTCAAGGTTCAGAGACATCGATCTGAGTCCTGTATGAATTACAACATTTCAAATTATTTAAATAGAAATTAATAAGATCTGACTATAGTTAACTCATGAGCTAAAGAACAAACCCACTTGAGAGAAACAAGCAGCTACTCCCGCCCACGGTCCTCCTGTTTTGTGGAGGGAAAAGAAGAAAAATACTAAAATGTTCTCAGTTGCTCTGAGTTGCATGCCTTGTTCAGTAACTTCAGATAACCTGCGAGAGAAAACAAACCTCTGAAACCGCTCTCAAATTATCTCAGGCTGTTTCACTTGTGTGATGACTACATACGTAAGCTGGCCGCCTTATTTCTGTGATAACCCGCCCAACGAATAAAAGAAAGCTGTCAGGAATGCTTGGGAAGAGCAA